GGACAGTTTGTAACTAGTAAAACATCTTGTTTTTAAGGTCTCTTCTATAATGTGTATCTGGTGCTTCAAACGCTGCCAGTATGCGTTTCCACAGTCAGCAAACCAATTTAAACCATCTCACCTTCTGCTCAGAGCTGCTAGACTTCTTCTGTATGACTGATGTGCAAAAAATTGTATACAGCAACAGAAACAAAGCCATCCTGCTCTTGAAGTTTAATGTATTGTATCTAATCAAATAGAAGCAACAAGGCTTTCTAGCATTGAAAGGCATGTAAGTGCATTCAAAATCCATTGGAAAACATGCTACCAAAGCCTAGAAAGGCTTACGTTCTTTACAAAGAGGGAGAACGTATTTAGCAAGGATGAAGGGGTACCAGTGTCTGTGGAGTGTTTGATATTACTTTGTGTAATTGCTTAGACTTTGGGTTTTTTATGACCTTGACTATCGAGGAAGCATTACCCAGAAGAGTGAGTGCTGGTCTGGAGGCCACGAGCTGTGCAGCAGTAATCTAGGCTCTTGTGCTGGCTCCCTTTCTAGTCTTTAGCAAGTTATTTGACCAATTCCATGTCTCCACGAGTAAAATGAGGGCTGTAGAGGAGACTCTTATTAAAGTTAAATTTGGAGTCTTGCCTCGCTCTTGCTCCTAGCAAATGTGGCTGGGGGTAACCTGCCCCACATGTTTTCATCCAGTGTCACTGTAATTAATTATGTTCTGTAACAATTGCAGGGTTCAGGAGTTCCTAAATGCTGATGGGCATTTGCATCCCAACATGGCATCACCTTGAAGGAAGTCTGCATTCTCAGCAGGTATGCTTTTAGCTCAAAGTTATTGTTACATCTGTCTTAAGCGCTGTACATTGCAAATCTAATCACTTGCTCAGAAAAGGAGGATGCATTACTACTACTAGTAAAGATTTATGGCCTGTAGTTAGTGAGACATGCACTGAACCACCTTGGTTGATTTATCTGATCAGAGTTAATTGTCTTTGCTTCCTTCTTTGGTGATGTATCCATAATTTCTTGCCATTAACACTGGGAGGTAAGGAAAAAGAAGAAAGTGGAACAGATTAATTGCTACAAAATCCAAAAGTGCTTCATTTTGTGGTAAAGAGCAATCCTTGGTGGTCTGGCCACAGGCTCCTTGTCCTAGTTGTATCCGCAGTGCTATTGCTATTAGTAAGGTTTGGAGCCTTTTTCCCTTATCCTTCCCTAAGGGGGTTTCATATATGTTTGCAGAGAGCTAGGAAAAGTAGTCAAGCCCACTTTTAGCCTGGGCAGCATTTGTGTTGTCTCCCATCGGGGTGAGGCAGTGGAGGACTGGAAAGGTTCCCAGTCATCTAGCTGTTTTGCCACCTTGCCTGCCTTGTTGCTGTCAGTTGCCAGACTTTATAGGAGACAGTGCTCCTGTGGCATTTACCTTGTTCCATGGTATAGCTTTTGCTGTTTTTTCCAGTGAGACTCAGGCAAGAGTAATATGGAAATGTGGCCAGTGCCAAGAAAATATCTGTTCTCAGTGTATTTTCCAGACCCAAAATTTGTACTTAACCTTGCTCATGCTGTTGCTGTGGAAAGGTGGAAAATAAGTCAAAATGATTTGCTTGGCTGCTAAGGCTGATGCAGGGGTGGGTAAAATACGGCCCGCGGGATGAATCTAGCCCGCCAGGCCATTCTATCCACCCCACAGGGACCCTAAAACATTTAGAAAATTAGTATTTATGTGCCCCTGCTTCCTGTCAAAGATGAGCCCAGAGCTGGTGCAGGGCCCAGTCTAGCAGCAGCAGCGGGGAACAAGCTGGTGCTCAGTGCAGGGGAAAAGTGGCCGTTCCCCTTACCTGTAGCCGGCGCCTTGTGCGGTAGCCGCTCGGAGCCTTTGCAGGGCTACCTGTGCTTGCTCTCTGTTGCCACTGCTGCCCCATGGGGCGGCAGTGATGTGGCAGAGAGGCAGAACAGCCCCGCGCAGGCTGTGAGTGGATGCAGCATGGGGCCTTGCCCATGGGGGGGCTTTTCTCCCGCGCTGAGTACCAGCTTGTTCATTGCAGATGAGCGTGGGGTTGGGGCTGCCTGCTGCTCTCCACCTGTACCATGGGGCTGGAGTGGGGGCACTGAGAGTGAATGGGCATGCAGGAGCCAGCAGCAGCCGGGCAGGAGTGAGGGGCCTGTGCTGGCGGGCCCTAGAACGGAGCAGTATGAGCAGGGTCCCGGCTGGAGGTGCTCTGTGGAGCCGTGCCAGCTCCCCCCCCTCTCTGCTGGTGCAACCCAGCCTGGCTCCAGAGACCCCTGCCAGCCCATGCCCCGCACTCCTACCGCCCTGCTCTGGGCCCTGCTGGTGCTGGCCCTGGGACATTGGTGCAGGTCCTGTGCTCCTGCTCGTTTCCACTTCTCCCCGGCCACTTTCCCCACTCCTGCCCAGCCACTCTGCACTATATGGCTCCCATACCCAGACACACACATCCCCACAAACTCCCATATGCAATCACTTTTGCATATACACCACAAATCCCCACAAATCAGGACAAAAATATATGTATATATTAAAAAAAAAAAAATTGACATATATTTTTATGGGTGTTTGATTTTTAGTATGTCATTTTTTCCCCCTATGATGGCAAACCCTCTTTCCCAAAGGCGTACTTCCAGGGGGAAGGGGAGGGACTTTCAGTGGCAAAGGTCAGAGGTTAGGGGCGGGACTTCTGGTCCCAAGATGGCGACCAGGGGTGAGGGACCTGTCAAGGGGCAGGGCTATCCATGTGGCCCTTGACAGCTTGCCAGAACTTGGTAAGTGGCTCTCCACCCAAAATAATTGCCTGCCCCTGCTCTGGGGGCTGGGAGGGTTGTAATCTGCTTCTCCCACTGGAGGGTTGCAGATTTCCCTCTGCATCTCCTACTCATTCATCAACTTTTCCTTCTTCAAAAGCACAGTTACTATGGCTTTCCCTTTGGGGCCAGCTGTTGCACAAGCTACAGCTGGCTGGTTAATGAAATATGTGTGTATCGAAACCTATCTGTTGTCAGACAACGCTTGTAGTAAAGGATTTTCTTTCTGTCCTGTCTTCATATTCTGGGTGACTCCCTCAGTGCAGGTTCTGTGGTTTCACATACTCTGAAGCAGGAAGTAGCAACAGAAGTGCCTCAGCTTCAAATAAGGTATAGCAATACCCAACAGCAGCTCATCATATGCAGTTGTAACATGGTCACTTAAAATGAGATTCATAAGGTAAACGAAATATTGTTTTTGCTATAGGGCCTAAGTTTAGGCCATGAGAAAAGTATCTTTCAGGAAGTGGCTAAAAGGGCTCTCGGAAACTTCTTCACTCTTGACAACTTTAATTACTGTACAGCCACTGGAAAAAGTCCTCTGTAGATAGCTGTGTTCAAACATTTTTGATTAGTGTAGTAAGAACACTATGCTGCCTGTTTTTGGCAGGTTTTTCTTTCCAATAGAACTAACGTTTTCAGTTAAATGGGCAGTGGTAACAATACAAATAGCAATACATCTGTAGTAGGAGTCGGCAGTCTATGAGCCCATGAACCATATCTAACTCTCAAAAGCTTGTTTTTTTTCTGGCCTGCAGAGCTGGGACAGCACAGGGAATTGGCAGCATTCAGCAATGGCAGTGACTGGGCCACAGGCAGTGGCCAGCCCTAGACCAAGCTCTGTTCATTTGACCTGCTGCTGCTTAAAGGTCACTGACCCCTGATCTATAGTATTTGACCGCCTTTTTTTTGTCGAATCCCTTTTGCTGGTCTGTATATTTGACCCCAAATGTGATTAAGAATATTAACATAATGGCTTCAAATATAATCTATGTCCTCATCCTTACCTAAAGATACAAGAAAGGCATCTCCAATATAAAGCTCAATTTTTCAAGGTCCACAGAACTCTAGGAGCACTGCATGATTCTGATGGACTGAGTAGGGCTTTCTAATATTTCATCAATAAATATGCTGCCGTGTTCAGTCTTTGAGCATATCTGATGTGTACGCTGAACCTCCCTCTGCAAGAATTTTGATTCAAAATCTCTTAGGAGAGGAATTCTTTCCACTGATTTAGTTGACTTTGAATCTGATTTAGCTAGCCAACTAATTCATACCCTGTTCTAGTTTAGCACTTCATTATTGTGCCTCTGCTTCTTATGACCTTTAATGTACTTTCAGAGAGTAGATACATATAAAAGGTATTAATTGTGAGTGAGAAGGAGATTATTATATCAATATCCAGTGGTGCACAGATCTGCTATGGTTGTTTAACATTTCCCTGTTTAAAATAGACACAGCCTGTAGTGGTGGACTTCTCTTTGAGTAATTATTATTTCTATTCCATCTGAAGCAGTGTGGTAATGTCTCCAACCTGATGCATGGTCTTGCTTGATATATCCAGTATATTTATTGTTCTGATGTGCCTGTGTTTGACTGAAAACCTCATTATACACCCTTGAAGGTATTTGATAGCAAAAATGGATACGCTGGGCCTGTGATGATTGTTCTGAGATTCAAGTTGATAAATGTTTCTGATAATCACCCATTGCAACTCATAGTGAATGCCTCTTTGGGGTTGTAATGGAGAGTGGGAGTTGGCTAAACCTTTAGTAGCAGGAACAGTATTCCCCCATCCATCAGGTCTGTTTGGTCATATAAGGCAGAATTGTGTCCCCTTAAATTGAAAAGCTGGATAGATGGACAGTCCAGCAGGAAGCAAAAGAAACAGAGATCTGGTTGGTATACTCAGTTTGAACCTTTATCTTTGCCTACAAACCACAATTTTAATGCAGTCATGTCCTCAGTATGCCCATGGATAGGTTTATTTCTCACACTAAACTTAATTAAAGTGGTGCTTTTCATGTCTTCAGCTGTAGGAGGATTTAATCCTTTGCTAGCCTAGCATAACTTGTTATTTTAATGAGCTGGGAACTATTGCAGTGAGCATGTGATCGGAAAGGTTTAGAAGCAATAGCAGTTGCTAGACATAACAGCAAAACCTTTGAACTGTCCTAAAAAAGTTCTTATGACTTTTAATGTATTTTCAGAGAGTAGATGCATATAAAAGGTATTAATTGGGAGTGAGAAGGAGATTGTTATATCAATATCCAGTGTCAATATCCAGTGGATATCCTTTCAGCCATTTGTTGGTACCTTGAGGTTACAGTGGTCAATAAGTCAAGATTCAGTTACCTGGTGAGGATCCTTCTTATCCAGTGTCCCATAGAAATCTTGACAGCCTAACACTGCTTAGCAAAGAAATGTAGCACAGAATATTTAAGATCAAGATTTCTTAAAGAATATAAGATCGTTAAGTGAACCAATCTTTCTTGTAAACCTGGTTCATCCAGGAGCAGGTGGGTGGTGTTACAAGTACAGATGAGGAGTAGGAGGAAGGGTGGGTCTGTTTCTGCCCAGCCTCTGTGTAATAACTGAAATTCAATGTCCATTCCCTGCCTAGTATGTTCAGTTTGCTTTTACTTTTTAAAGTGGAACCACTTAATGTATTATAACTTACATCACCATTTCTAGCCTTATAGGGTCAAGAATTATGTACTTGTATTATAAGGCTCCAATCTCCAGGGTCTTAAAGTTAAAGCAAGGAGGTAATGAAAGGGAAAAAAAAGGAGGTAAGACTGACTTCATTTTGCCAACAATTCTAGCTCATGTTTGCTTCTGAACTACAGAGGAAGGGTATTGAATTCACTCATTAGGCTCTAATGGCTTGCATTGACTACTGCCAGCCATGGCATTGTTCTATTCCTAGTTTCTTAGCAAAATTTCCTGTTCTGTAATGTTACCTCCCAAACAGTTTTTGATTTAATTTATTT